TACACGGTCTCAGTCGGTGCTACTAGAACAACGGCCAAATAACCCCACCCTCTCTACTCCGATGGTGGACCTCACAGTTGACTCTTCCAGCGAAAGCTCAGTTGGATCTAACGGTGGTCTTCAAGTGGTTGATGATTCTTCTCCTATCGCAAAACGCCAGAGGCTTCAGTGTGACTCACCTCTGGCCAGTTTTGCTCCTCAGTCTAACTCAGCAGCCCCACACTTCAACGAGTGCTACTTGCTCGTTACCGACCGACTCTACGGCACGACTTGACAGTTCGTTAACTTCGCCTCAACCGCGGACTTCACATTGTGCTGCCTCTTCTTCGACTGCTCACCTTGCTGATTTTCCTGGAGTTAATCCTACTCGTTCTGGAATTATTATCTCTTCACCGGACATTGTGTTGCCACAGGGTCTGGTTCTTCCCTCTCATTCGGCGTCATCAGAGCTGCCCTCCTCCTACCCTTTGCTTTCTCTACCTGCTCAACCGGTGGTTGACGACGCCGAGTCAGTACGGACGTCACATCGTAGTAAGAAGCCCACTCAGTTTTTTGGCGGTCCGTTGTGGCATTCTGTTAAGTCAGTTGAGGAGGACCCAACTTTGCCCTCTGAAACGGTGACAGTATCTTCGTCCTCACCACGAAAACCCCTTATTCGGGATTGTTTTCCACCTGGACTTTCAACGACGACGTCTCCCCCTCTCGTTCATGCAAAAGATGCTACTGGAAAGGATAATGAACGCAAGTAATTTCTCAACTTTCGAAACTGAAAAAAAAAATAAATGCCCTTTCGAATTTCTGCAAGAATTTATGATTGGCGCTTTTTTGATACCATGAACCCTACTTTTCATGTCAGAAGAACCTTTAGAAGTGAAGATCCCCTGTGTTTTAAGTTATTCCTCAAATTTTTAAGCCAGCAATTATTTCATAGATATTAAAAAGCAGCCAAGACATTCATTGCTTCTCTCTGATTAAATTAGTCTTTTATATTGCTTTCAATTCTGACGACAGTCGAAAAACCATATCTACAAAAACTTCATAATTCTAACGCATGAGTTTCATAAGAAGACTTATGCTCGGTAAAGACTTATGCTCGGTAAGTAAAAATGGATTTTACTTACCGAGCAACAACAAAGGTGATAAACTTTGGGTCAAAACCTGTTGAGCTGAAAACGAAATTCTCAGCTTTAAAAATTTGAAAAAATTTAGGTTTTTACGATCCATCCAAATTGAGACACACAATCCGGAACGGATATACTTTGCCATCAAAGTTACGCAAAATAAGTTGACTAAGTCGACGATAAAACAATCTGAATTTGTTTCAATTTTTTGAAAACGACAAAAAAGTAATTGAAAAAAAAAAACTCGAAACCAAACATAGCAAACTTACGAAGTTTCCGGTATAGTAAGAAATCTTTAAAGTGGAACAAAAAACACGCTTCAAAAAAAAACAATTAAAATCTACCAAATAAAAATTTGACTTTGAAAAAAAAACTTAAATAAAAACAGACAAACTAGGACAAAAACTTTTTATTTGAATTTTCAAAAATTGATCAAGTCAGAAGAACCTCTAGAAGTGAAGATCCTCGGTGCCTCAAGTTATTTATGGGAAAAGATGGAGTACCCGATTGCATTGCCTTTACTCATTGCATGGGTAGCAAACAACCAATTATCGGCATCAAGCTGGGTTGCTGATAAATAAGACAATGGCCTGATAATATTGCAGTTTTCAAAATATTTTCTGATTTTTTAAATTGTTTGTATTAAAACCATAAAACTCAGTTAATGGCTGAAAAATTAAAGTCTAAAATGAGAAGGCTAAAAATGAGAATAAACAAGCGAAACACCTAATATCTACTGTAATGAAGTAGTATACATTTCAGAGGACTTTTTCCCATTACTTTCACGTGTACATTCAGTGTCTCGTCACAAGCCCTAATATATAAAAAAAAACACCATACCTCCTAAAAAAGCTCTCTAATAAAATCCAACCATAGCCAATCGATGATTGAAAAAGAGTACTCAACGCAAGTAAACACAAAAACACTCACTTTCTTGAAAAAATTTCAACTTTTGAAATTCAAAGGAAAAAATAGATGGCCTTTAAGATCTATGAATTTCTAGAAGAATATATTATTGGCGCTTTTTTGAAAACCTGAAGCCAATTTAAGAAAACTGATCAATGAGTAACGTTTTTATTCTGCTGAAATCTAAAAAGTCAAATTCCTTTTTTAAACCAGAGGTCTTTCAGGTTTTTTTTGCGATATTTCCAAATTCATATTTGTAGAGTGCTTTTTACGTCACTTTCAGCAGATGAACTTCAATTTAATTCAAAAAGTGCTGTATAGCTATTGGCATACCATAATCTGACAAGCTCGCAAGGCGTTGACGCGACTGCAGCAGTCCCTAAAAGGATGTTTATGTGCGACTTTTTTTAGTTTATTACAAAATATCAAGCATTTAGTCAAAAATTCCTCAAGATTTTAAGCCAGCAATTATTTCATGGAAATTAAAAAGCAGTCAAGACATTCATTGCTTCGCTTTGATGAAACTAGTTTTTTTTATATTGCTTTCAATTCTGACGACAGTCGAAAAACCATTACTACAAAAACTTCATAATTCTAACGTATGAATTTCATAAGCAGACTTTAAAAATGGATTTTATTTACCGAGCAACAACAAAGGTGATAAACTTTGCGTCAAAACCTGTCGCGCCGAAAACGAAACTCTCAGCACTAACACATTTAAAAAAATTTAGGTTTTTCGACCCATCCAAACTGAGACACATAATCCCGAACGGATAAACTTTGCAATCAAAATTACGCAAAATAAGTTGAATAAGTCGATAAAACATAATCTGAATTTGTTTCAACATTTTGAAAAACGAAAAAAAAAATTGAAAAAAAAAAATTTCTGGTGTAGTACGAAATCTTCAAAGTGGAACAAAAAGCAAGCTTCAAAAAGTAAAACATTAAAAATCTATCAAATAAAAATTTGACTTTGAAAAGAAAATTTTAAGTAAAAAAGACAAACTATTGACAGCGAGGAATAATTTTTTTTTCAAACAATATATATGGCATCAAAGTGGCGCCAAATTTAAATAAATAATTTTGGCTGTAATAAGTTGGAAACGTAGCCAACTGGCATTTGGAAAAAGTCATGAACGCAAGTAAACAAAAAAATTTTCTGATTTCAATCAGAAAAAAAAAAGATTTCCAGAAACTTCAAGAAATTCCAGAACAATTTATGATTGGCGCTTTTTGATAACATTAACCGAACTTGATAAGACTGGTCTACAAGGTGTTTTGATTCAGCTATAAATCTGAATGTTTAATGCACCTGAAATTAGAAAAGTTCGTTTTTCTGCGTCATTTTCGCGTTCAAAATCGGAGAGAGCTGTTTAGGTTACTTTCAGCAGATGAATTTTAATTGAACTGAAAAAGTGCTTTTCTACTTAAGTGCATTCATAAAGCCATTAATATGTATCAATGCACATCTGTAGTTATTCAAGCATTTTAAGACAAGACTTTATCCTGAAAAAAAAAAGAAAAACATAGCCAATCGAGTAATGAACGCAAGTTAATATAAAAAATAGACTTTAAAAATTTCAACTTTCGAATTTCAAAGGAAAAAATAGATGCACTTTAATTTCTTTAAGTTTCTAGAACAACTTAAGACTGGCATTTTTTTGATAACAATATTCTAATTTGAGAAAACAAGTAAAATTTTATTTCCGCTGGTAATCTAAAAATTAAATTCAATTTTCGAAACTAGAAATCATTCATAATGTTTTGCGCGATTTCCACGTTCTCATTTAGAGAGTGCTATTTACGTATGTCACTTTTAGCAGATAAATTATAATTTAACTCAAAAGTGTATATATACCTAAGTGCATAAATATTTTAGACTTTTCCTGAAAAAAAAATTAAAAAATCAGCACGACCTATTAAAAAGTCTTCACTACGTTCATTACTCTTAAAAGAACAAACTGAAGGCATACACGCGAATTTGCCATGTAATGAATTGGAAAGCATAAACCCAATTTATGTTCAAATGATGCATTACAAAAATATTGAAAACATTTAATTGGAAATTTGTTTATTGTACTGATATCTAAATAAGATAGCTTCTTTCCTTTCATTTGAACAATGAGCATTGCATCAACTGTGGAAATTTATTACCAACCGATTGTAACATGCTATCAAAAAAGACACCAGTATTTGAAACTTGGGTTGGAAAAGAAAGAATAGTCGTACTATTACATTAAGCTCGCAAGTGTAAATTTATGAAGTTATACAAAATTTGAAATATCGAAAAAAGTATTTTCACACAGATGCGAAGTTGCACTTCGCATACACAGGCGAAAATATTGATAACGCTACTGGGAAAAACTGAATGAGTGAAACTTTGAGTCCACAAAATTTCATAAGAGGCTCGTCAATTATGAGTCTACATAATTGCTAAATGACTCAAGCCAATGAAGACGCATCGTCGAAATAAGCTTCACGTATCGTCGATCCTTTTAAAAATATTTTTTTGCTTCTGAATTTTTTTGCATCTGAACTTTTTTGCTTCTGCATAAGACTTTTCACTCCACGAACTTCAACTCGGATTCATATTTTCTACTTCATAATTTTCACACAGAGAAGAAGCTGCGGTTCGCTACCTCTAGTGATAACATGACAAAAAAGCAGCTCTATAAAATGAAAAAAGCTAAAAAAAAGCCTTGAATCAGTAAAAACTCGGTAAAGTGTCGGATTCGATCTGCGACCTAGAGATTTTGAGTCTCTTGTATTAACCACTCAGCCACGGACGCTTAATAAATCACCAACACTAGCCACAAATAAAGCAGAGAACAGAGGCTATGAACATTCCAATGCTACAGATCGTGACCATAGCAAAATTGACACGAATAAGTGAACACTTTTATTTGTGAGTTAGGTTGGAAAAAACAAGAAGGTTCGTACTAACACACTTTGCTTTCAGGCTGGCTAGTGTAATTAGGGGAATATTTACAATTGAGCATCGATTTACATATCCACAATTTACTGACTATTTACATCACTTGAACTCGATAGATATCAAATTTTTATCAATTTTTAGAGCAGTTCCTCAGCAATTAGATCAGTGCTATCATCTTTGCTCTGCTGAGATAGTATCTCTTCAATTTTGTTCATCTCTAGCGCATCTTCACTGGCACCTTCGCCAATTGTATTTTCTGCAGTTTCTTTTTTCATTTTCCCTCTCCTTGTTCGTGCTTTGGCTATGGGAAGTGTCTGGAGTTCGTCGTCATCATCAGGGATCTTTGAACTCTCAGGCTGAGAGCTTGTTTCACTGAATGTGTCTGCTGGCTTGGAGCTCAAGTCTCCGGCGGATGACTAAAATTTGTAAATTAGGAAACAATTTAGATGCATTTATCAATATCCAACTCCGCCAAAACTCAGTTAACTGCCAAAAAATGGTAGCGTTCTGCGCTCAACAGACTACAGAATTGCTCTTGTTTTCACTCAGTCATACCATAAGTTATTGAAAATTGCTACATTTTTCATATAAGACCAACTTATAGTGAGAGAAATATTTCATTCCTGCTAATTAATACTATAAAATTATCTCTTGAGAATATCTCACCGGTGGTGCAGTTGCTTGACTGATCTTTCGGCGCGGTTCGTTCTCTAGCATAGAAATTGCTTGTGCATCCGATTCTAAATTGAAGACGCATTATTACTATTATCTAATCAACATTAAAACATGCGTACAATTTAACTACGACTTCATTTCTGGTGTGTACAGCTATAGTTATTACTAATTGGTGATAAGAATATCTAATTTTTTGAAGGGGGGTTTGCGGCAATATGTTACATTAGGTGGCATATTTTAGAAGTGGGATGCCATAATTTTCACGTTTCGGTGAAAAAGCCATCGTCGTCCAAACATTGAAGAACTAGTTCATTTGATGCTAAAAGACAAAATTCAGTTTTCCTAAGTGTTCCCATATTTAAACCACTTTTCACCCAATTAAATTTTACATCCAATTTTGCATAATAGCACTATGATGAAATATGATGAAATGAAACAAAATATCACTTTTGTCACTTTCGTTGACGCCTGAAAAAAATTAAAGGAAATGCATCTCAAAACACATGTCATTTTGGTTAAAGAACAAAATACACTCAATAAATCCAGATGAGGAAACACATAGTGAGTTTTAGTCTGTGTTTGAAAATCTCTAACTGTTAAGCTTAATATTAACTTTGCATAGCTAATCTTTACCACAAAATAGAATAATAACTGTGAATCTAACCAGTGATTAGTTCCAGACAACTGGAAGGCAGGTATCCCTGTGCGGCATTGTGCAATTGAGCCAGCCACCACCTATCATTGTCCTTCAAGACCACTTTGACGAGGACTCCTTTGGACACGCTCAACTCATCACTCCTCTCAGCACTGTAGTCTCCAATCGCTCTCGCCTAAAACATCCAATTACAGTCAACTCACTCTTGCGACCGAAGGAGTTCAATTCAAACAGGCTAAAACAATCTTTTCGTAGTCTTTTCACCACAACACTACTCCCTCCACCCCGCGATTGAACTTCAACTTCAAGCTAAGTTAAGGTAATAATGTTAGGAAAATTAGCATGATGAACAATTTATTTATAGCATAAAATCACGCATTTAGCCACAATTGCTGATATATTACGTTAAAAACGGAATTTTTCAAGTTGGGGATAGGAAAAGAGGCCCTCTTTGCACACCTGAGAAGAAAAATAAGGAAGCGTCAACTCATGGATTTGAAAATGGTTTCGAACGATTGATACAAAGTTACCGACACCACGCGCACTCCTTCTATAAAACTATTGGTTCCAAATTTCGCAGATTACTCTCTCTACCCGAGGAAACATATGAGCTGAGATGAAAAACAAACCTACTACAACAAAAGCTTGATTACCACCAGTGTCATCAGCAAAGTTTCTTATTAACCAGGTTCACCAAGCTTGGCTAAATTAAGTTTATCATACCCACCCATTGTGAGATGCCAGTCTTGGCGGATAGCATGAATTTGGGCTTCTCGCTTTGTATGAGCATGGTCATGCGTGCTCCTGGCATTTCTCTGTCCAGCTGTTTCACCATGTCACCTGTGATAGAAACAGTTTTTTCAACTAGTAGAATAAACCAATTGACCCATATATCTCAAATACATTGAGTGATGAGTACTGCATTAACATTCATTCTCTTCTCCGTTTTTTTTTGCACCACTTCCATATTTGAAGTTGGAGAGCGGAATTTGCCTCCTTTTGCGGATGAATTTGCAATTTAATTTCAGTTGAACTCAAAAACTGCATATATACACAAGTTCATTAAAATGTAGCAATGCACATCTGTAATTACAGAGCATTTTGAGTCTTTTTCGTAAAAATGTTTGCTCCACCATTCTATTTAAAAAATAATCCTGGAGCTCTTTAAATTGAAGACCTTTCTGCAATCAAAACAAGTGTGCCCATCCAAAAACAATAAAAAGACGGAATGATAAACCTAGATTGAATTTTGAGAACGATCACTTTATATCAAGGCTGTTGTCATTACAGATACGGAACATCAAAAATGGAACATCAATGACAAAAATGGAACATCAATGACAAAAATGGAACATCAAAAATGGAACAAATGACAAATTAAAGAAAATTAGCCACTACCATTTCTCTCCCAAAACAACCTCGTTCCAGGAAATAATAGCGAATACTTTCAAAATAGCAAATCTCCTAGGCTAAAGTTTTTTCACACTTGCTAGTTTGTTTGGAAAAAAATATGGTCCGTACTACCATACGGAATGAGACAACTTCTGTGGAAATTAATGGAAATTTTCATTCGGGTTCAAGAAATAAAAATGATTTTGAAAAAATGGTGAGCTGAATAAAAATATCGATCAATCAAAAATCACCCCCAACTGAAACAAAAACATTGCTAATGAAAGCGCATTTCTACAAATTTAGATAATGCTTGCAAAACAATTTCTTTGGAATTGGCGAAATTTTACTCATCAACCGACATGAAACTGAAAAAATAATCTTTTACCAGTCTCCATGTTTCTTGACTGGAAGCCGGGTTGTCAACCAGCTATGGCCGGAATCAAATACGAAATTGGTCAATTAAAAAAACCAAGAACCAAAAGCAATTCGGATTAACATTCATCACAATATATTCTCAAATGACGTCCTGAAAAATTGGAAAATGAAAAATAACGCCGAATTAATTTATATCAATTTTAATCATAGAGGAGAAGCGGAGCTTCGCAACACTTGCGATACAATTAAAACATTGCATTACAAAATATTGAAAAACAATCTACAGAAATTTCATACCTCTGTCTCGGAAGATGTTCATAGACAGCCTTAACAACCCTTGACAATCAAAAACCGAGCGGCAACTAAGGACCTCATTAAGCCGAAACGAAACCAAAATTTGGATATAAAAATATATTAGCTATAAAAATTTTGAAGAAAAAATTTCAAGACCCATCCCTCCTGAAACAGGCAAAAAAACTTAAGCTGAAAAATTAACATGAAAAAATCCCAAAAAATCTATCTACAAAAACTTCAAACCTTTGTTTCTAACGATGTTCAAAAAACAGCCTTAAGAAGCGCTGGGAATTAATGACCGAGCGGCAATCAAGACGAGAAACTTGGGTCTACCCTCAAGCCGAAAACGAAACTGTGGACATAAAAAATATTCAAGTTGTAAAATTTTTTGAAGTAAAACTCTCATCACCATTCCTCGAAAACGGCTAAAGCATTAAAAATATTTCGCCCTTGAAGCTGCGCAACGTAAAATGACTCGAGTAACAATTGAAACAAGGCATTACAATCTCCTAAAAAGAAAAAAGACCTTTTGTTTCAGGAAAAAGCTGAAAATGTCGCAAAAACTATCGACTAAAACTTCGTGACTTTGTCTCGGTCGATGTTCAGAAACAAGCCAAACACGAACTGAGAACCAACGACCGAGCAGTAACTAAGACGAAAGAAATTGGGTTAAACCTAGTTAGATGAAAACAAACTTAAAGTCAAATTTTTCAGACCCATCTCTCCTGAAACAGGCAAAAACATTTGAAACAAATCGCCTTTGAAAGTGTGCAACCTTAATTGACAGACCTGATATAACCTAGGCCAAACTCGTTTAACAAAAAAAAAACATTAAAATTCACATTATTAAAAATCAGAGTTAGTAAATTTTAAACAGCAACTTTCAATTATAGTAAAAACTGTTTGAACCAAAACTTTAAAAACTCCAGATTTAAAAGACAGGCACTCAAAAAGCTTACCAGTTAATTTACATTAAATTTGAAAATCGACCGACAGGAATTAGGACGAAAACCACAATTTCAAAAAATCAATACTTTTTAGTAATAATTTTTAAAAAAAATTATGTAACAACCACACAGAAACTAAAACGTAATTTTATTTCAATTTTAAAAAATTGAGCATGTCAGATTTCAGCATGTCGCAAGAAAGCGTAAATTACTGGCAAAGTTTGAGATCTCAAGTCAAACAGTAATCTCCCCATTGTAGATCCGGGGGAACCTATACGTCACTGAATGGCCAAAATTTAGGACCGAAATCCGTATCCGCTAACGACTGTGCTTGCAGAAAAAAGCGCTTATGATGCTCGACGTAAAAGCGCTTTCACAGCTCTTTTTGATCTGCCTGGTACGTCACAGATTGTAGATCTCCGAATCCCTTGTACTAAGCTGGCGAGACCAGCAAAGGGGGGCCTATGTTCTATAGTGTCTCCTTACTGAAGGTAAAACTGAAGTTGGCATGCGCGGTGACGTCACATTGCGTCAGCCCTGTGGGTACCATGATGTCTAAAGCGGTTTCGTGAGAAGTTGCGTAGTCCTTGACTAATGATTTGATTGGAACGAAAGTATGGATTTCAAGGACATGCTACCTTTTAAAATCATACTGCTGGTTAGCCAGCACCTCAGCAAAGGCCATTTACGACTGGTTTCCTATTACAAGTCACTTACTATGGCAAATGAAAAAAGCTTACATTGTGACAACCTATAGTAAGCTTTCATGAAAAACTGTAAAATTATTTCGCTTTTTAATCGACTTCTTGTAGCAGGGCATATTACCTTTTTCCATTTTATCCTTTGTCAAACTTTGCAATGCAATTTTCCCTTATGTTCCAACTTGCTAAATACCATTTTACATTAGTATCCCAGTGGTATCGCAATGAAATGTATTATTTAATAGAATAATTGAATGCCAAATTATACATTACAATCATGCACGTGTTATTTCATTCGATGCCAGAAAAAGAACTCACTAGTCGCAACTTCAACATAAAAGTTATTGAAGCGCAATCCAGCGATATCTAAAAGTTATTACAGCTAACTAAGTTTAATCTAAAAATAGTCACCTATGGCAATCAACTAAGGTTGAATTTTGTCTATTTCAGTTTTCACAGCTTCAACGAAAAATGAGTCAAATTTTTTTGGTTGTTTTTGCAACTAAATCTTGTTGCTTTTACTATTGATGGCGACAAATATACCGAAAATTGGAAAAAAAAACACCAGAAATGCAAGGCAACAGCTACCACACTTTGCGGTGCTCTGATTTCGGGACAAACTAAACAGATTCAAATTCGAGCGTCCATACTTTCAAGACTTTTTCCTAGAAAAAAAAAAAACAAAAGAATCTTAGCAAATCCTAGAAAACGACAAAAAAGCAGCTCTATAAAGTGAAATAAAAAAAGTAAAAATAAGCCTCGAAATAGCAAAAAAAATTCGACTAGGTATCTGATTCGATCCTGAGACCCAAATATTATGATTCTCATGCACTAACCACTAAGCCACGGACACTTATAACTTCACAAACACTAGCCACAAATAAAGCAGAGAACAGATTGTATGAAACTTCCAATTCTACAGATCGTGGAAACTTCCAATTCTACAAATGAGCACTTATTTTTGTGAGTTAGATTGGGAAAAAATAAAGCTAGTACTAATACAGTACACTCGCAAGCTCATTAGTGTGGATACAAGAACGAAACAAGTGTCTTCACTTCGGTGATTGACCCTGGATCCGATCAGATCGGAATTCGGTAAAAGTGCTAATGATAGTCCTCGAGAAATACAGATGGCACATACTTGTTCTGAGGGTAGGCCTTGGACTGGTGTTAACATTGAGCGTAGACCCGCCTGGACTGTTACTCATTGGGTCCTGTTCCTGAGCAGCAGCAGTTGCTGATAGAAGAGAGGACCTGTTGGTCAGGTCACCTGCTAAGCTGCCTGCATCAGACATTCTGGCCTGCTTCATTCGTCTTCTGTTAGCTCGCGCTCTGCTCTGGCTCATGTTCAGGTCATTCCCATCCTGAAAAACATACAAAAATCACTGTTCCATGTCTCACTGATAGTAAAAAAATATATAGTTCGCGGTACTCGTTTAGAAACACAGTCCCGCCATTTTGAATGAGGCCTACTCCAAACGCTCGTGTAGAATTTGGTCCCACCAGAGCATTTGAAATCTACTTGACTGACTTCAAGTGGAGGAAAACAAGTGAAAACGTGCAAACGTTTCTTAATCAGCTCTAGTATTACGATTTATGATGAACAGGAATTACTATTCCGACTTTCGAAGAAACTGATGGAATTTTTGTTGTCGGGGTTTTTCTATACTTCGGGCTGTAGTTTTTCTCCAGACAAGTTTCGACTTATCTAGCAAAATTTGAGTGTTTTCTACTGCATGAAAGATTTTGATGCCGAACCCAGAATGAAAAAATTTTCACCGGACTATTTTTCTCCAACTTATAAAATCTAATAGTCATCAATTTACGTTGATTTTATTGTTAATCTGTTTGACCCTTATATGAGACCACAAGGTTTTTGGGACCAAACTTCTATCTGAGGTTTTTAATGAAATTATACATCTAAAAGAGTGTTTGGTTTGGTAGTTGGTTTTCTCACCAGGATATTTCAAAAACTTTTGCAAGGGAACAAAATTTTGAATCATCAAATGCCGATATTGGTAGTCCCATATATGAGCTATAAGAAAATTACAAACTGAAAAGTTTGGAAGATCAACCATTTAAAGCAAAAAGAATCTTCATCAACCATTTAAAGCAAAAAGAATCTTCAAGAGACTCCGGAAAACTGATTCAATACTCACAGACACAATGGATGCATTGATAGTGCGGCTAACATGGTCCATTTTCACACTGTGGATAATTTCAGATGCCAATTCTCGGCTCGATTTCACCATCAGGTCTGCCTTGGTACTAGCTGTGAGCCCTATTGACCCCTCACTAGATGGGTACTTTCCAGGGCCATAAAAGGCGTGTGAGCTCAATAAAGGCGACTTGGCTCGGAAGGATCTGTTCCTTGGAGTGTTCGGGGCACTTGGAGCCGGAGTCACTGCCCTTAACTCGAAGTCTGTTGTTCCCCCGAAGGCACCAGGTGCATTGGCATCGTAGAAGGTTCTATCCGGCCCTTAAAAAGCACATTTCAAACATAGCCAACTAACAGTTGGAAAACTTGCAATTAGCTCAAGTTAAACCCATGTTTACTTATAAAGAACAGATTGTATTGGTTACAATTTTGAAAACATTAAAACACTGGAATGCTATAAAAAAGCATAGCCAACTGAAAGTTGGAAAACTGTCAACGAAATCAAAGAAACCGACAGAAACAATTGAATGTTTTGAAAATGCCAACTTTCGAATTTTGAAAAAAATACATCACATTGAAGCTCTGTAAAAGTAAATAATAATTTATGACCTACAGTTTTTTCATTAAACTAGCCCAATTAGAGAAAATTGGATCATTATGTCTTTTTTCAATTCCTCAGGAAAAATTAAAAACAAATAATTAATCGACCGAACTAAAATTCATTCAAGATTTAAGGCGCCATGCCATATTCGCTTTCTTAATTGGAGCATAAAATGCTTCCTTTTAAGATAACGTTCCCTCCTTAAGATTTGAATTGAACGCAAGAGAAAGCCAAATCGCAAAAAGTCAAATTTGAAAGAAATCAAATTTTAAGATTATCCTGAACGAACTGAACGACCTAAGGAGTGTACTGACTTTTCATAAAAATTAAAGTATAGAAACCCATGATCAACCGTAGTACCCTCAGAAGCAAAGTTTCACAGAAATTACTCACGCCGGAACAGTGCTCGCTTAAAACCTGCACAATGAATTACAACTTTTTAAACGGCATGCTTCATCTATCTTCAATTAGACCAATTATGGAGCAGAACGTAACTGTTTGGTACTTACTGTTGCAGTCGTATGAGAAGAGGACTATGGGCTGATTGGGTCCTATGGCACAGAAAGCCACCAGGTTTTCGAAGGGATGGTAGCAGATGTCCGATATTGAAGCAGTGAAGCCCAGGTCACGATAGTGACACACGGTTTCGCCTACAATTTCAAGATATAGCCAACAGACAGTTGGAAAAGGGTCATTGAATCCAGTAAACAGAAAAAATTACTGACTTATTTTTGAAAAAATCTCAGACTTCCAAGAAAATATAAACTTCCCTTAAAGCTCTTAGACTTTCTAGAACAAGTTATGATTGGCACTTTTTCGCTAAAAATAACCCATTTTAAAAAAAAAAAAAAACTAGATCAAAAAGTAAAATTTTATTTTCGCTGAAAAATCTGAAAATTAATTCCACTTTCGAGACTAGTAGTCGATTGTGTTGTTCGTGACCTTTAATCTTTTGCTTTTCGATTGTAGAGTTTGCCTTCTTTTAAATCAAAAGTCAACACGCGCAAAGTAAATTTGAGCCTGAGGAAATTTTAAAACTTTTCCTTGAAGAAGTCATCACGACCTACATAGAGTCAGTTTCAATTTCAATAAAAAATCACTTACTGCACAATCCGCGATGTGGCAACTTGACCGAGACAAAACATAATGAGCAGACAAACAATAGGCCGAAAAGTTTTTCAAGACTGAAAATTAACCCGTTTGAAAAAATGGCCCTAGACATATCAGAACCTAAAACCTTTGCCGCCCAGGCGTAGTCATTAGTTCCAACCGGAGAAACTAAGAAATTGACTCTAATATGAGCCAAGCTAACAAATGATTCCATTTAACAAGTTGGTAACTTGAAAAAAGTCTGTAGCCCACCTTGATAAAGTTCTCAAATCGCAAGCGTAATAAACGCTTGTAAACCCAAAATTGAGTCTTCTTTCAAAAGAGCACAATTTGAGTTTCACTTAAAACTGAACTTAAAATACGTGCTTTGAAAGCAACGAAAAATGAAACCTTAAAAAAGACGGCTTTAATCCTTATTGAAAACTGAATCGATAAAAAAAATTTACTTCGCTGCGAAATCCAAAAATTTAACTCCACTTTCGAAACTAGAAGTCGATCACGTTTTTCTTGACCTTTACCTTTTGCTATTCGATAGTACAGTTTTTCTTCCTTTCAAATAATGAACTGAAACGAACTTTAAAAAAGTCAAAAGTCAAGAAAAAGTAAATAATGGCCTGACAAACTTTAAGACTTTTCCTGAAATAAAAAACGAAAACCAAAATCATCGCAACCAAAATAAAAACAGAACATTATTGACTCTTAAACATGCAGCGACCAACAGATTATGAGTCTCACGCTTAATAAACTGCAACCACTAGCCACAAATGAAGCAGAGAAGAGCTATGGTTTTCCAATGCTACAGATCGTGATTATAGCAAAAGTGCCACCAAATAATAATCAGAATAAAATATTTCCAAGTGAAGTCATTACACATACAGAATTACAAATGAAGAATTCGTTTTATAAAAACATCACTTGAGAGAGCGCCGTAGGACTAAATTAAGCCTGTTTTTAGGCGTCTCAGAGCGAGAATCAAATTTGTTTTTTTTTTCTTGGTACACTTGAAAATAGGGGGAAAAGAACTGATCACTTTTAATGAACACTTTTATTTGCGAGTTAGGGTAGAAAAAAGAAGGTTAATTCTAATACACTATGCTGCTCGTTAGTGCAAACAAGGATTGGAGCAAAAAAAAGAGCGACCGTTGAATCCTAATCTCTCAACTAAAATTCCCAGGCACATCAACTTATTTTTCTGGGTTGCGGAAAGCTGCTTCAACCTCGATCAACTTTGAGCAGAGATGCTTCATCCCAGTAGTTGTTTGGCATTCCTCTACTCACAGGTGTCTGTGTTCCATACTACGGCAGTACAGTCCTCTGAGCTGGCGTAGATGTAGGTGCCACAGGGGGAGAATGTACTGCGGATGTGGTCTTTGAAGTTGATCGCACCCGCATACCTCGCCATGATTATATTCAGTCTTAGGTCCAAAACTCGCACTGTGTTGTCCTTGCATTGCAACAACAGTCGCTTTCCACTCCCATGCAGCTGCACCACACTTAAGGGCACGCCCTACAACATCACAACACGTAAGACCACACTTTTACATCCCACAAATATTTAAGCCATAGAAAACTTCATTTTACATACAGTGCTGCTCTAAATTATCCGGACAAAACGAAACAAACTTGAAATTTAAAACGCATTTTTCTACAGAAATTCAACAGAATTAGTATGTAGCATTTTATTTTGCGAAATAGGGCCCATACCTTTACCCCAAAAATGATCATTTTCGGCTTTTTATAGTCAACCCAATAATTTGAGAAAAACGAGTTTTAAATTTTATGTTTTATTCGCTTTGTCCGGATAATCTAAATCAGCACTGTATATGAACGGAATTATTTCATGCGCTGCAAAAAACTCTCAAACAAAAACTTGAACCTAATAAAGGAAATTGTATTTAAAAGCATAAATCATTTTTTCTACTTCTACTTAGCTCTCACGTCAATTTCCGATCTAAAATTACAACAGCCAATCGAAGATTGGAAAAGAGAGATGAACGCAAGCAAACATGAAAAAATCACTGAATTTGTTAAAAAATCTCAATTTTCGAATTTCAAAGAAAAAAATAGATGCCCTTTAAGCTCTTTGATATTTAGAACAATTTATGATGGGCGCTTTTTTGATAACATGAACTCAAGTTGAGAAATCTGGGTCAACAGGTAAATTTTTTATTCCGCTGGAAATCTAAAAATTAAATTCCACTTTCGAAACTAGAAACCGTTCACGTTTTTTGCGCCATTTTCACGTTCGTATTTGGAGAGTGCAATTTACGTCACTTTCAGCATATGATTTTCAATTAAACTGAAAAAAGTGCCTACATACTTAAGTGCATTCATAAATGCATCAATATGAATGAATGCACATCTGAAGTTATTAGAGTATTTTGACTTTCCTGAAAAAAAAACAAAAAAAATCAACAAGACCTAAATAAGAATTTTCACTACGTTCATGACTCTTAACAACCAAACTCACGTTTATCTCTGGGTCTGTGAATATTCTCTCCGGCAGGAACTGCAAGCCCCCTCCACTGCTACTGTTCTGGTAGTCCTGTTCTCCTGCTGCCCCTGTGTGCGCGATGAGGTTCATACTGGAAGGAAGGGTCACTCTCCAGGTGATGACTGTGCCGACACTGTCACAAGAGTACATGGTGGTGCCTGAAGAGTCGAAGCAGAGACAGTTGACGAAACCATTGTGCGAGTGGAGCTCCTTCAGCAACTGAAAAAAATTACAAGTCACACTAAATTATAAGCTAAAGAATACTACTTTATGTCTACAAGGGAAACAACCATCACTGGAATTTTTAGCACACTGAAAAAACTAAAATCATAAAAACGCTTTCGAAGCAAATTTTGCACAGAGGCGAAGCTTTCCTTCGCTAACACTTGCCAGAACGCGACAAAAAGGAGCTCTATAAAGTGCAATAAAAAATTAGAAATCAGACTCGAATTAGCAAAAAATCGGCTACGTTAGACCTTCGAACCTGTGACCTAGAGATGAAGAGTCTCACACACTAACCACTCAGCCACGGAAACTTATTAGGTACCAAACACTAGCCACAAATAAAGCAAAGAACAGATGCTTTGCAATTTCCAATGCTACAACAAAATTTTCAAATAAGTGAACATTTTCAATGAACACTTTTATTAGCGAATTAGATTTGAAAAAAAGAAGGTTCGTAATAATACACTTAGCTTATCGTTATGTAAAAACAATAGTGGCTCGTTTCCTTTCCCCACACATTTCGATTTTTCCATTTTCTCAGTTATCCTACGTGTTATTATGGCTGAATGCGTGATGTTACGAAGTAGGGTTTGATGAACACACTTGATCACAATAGTTCGGCTAGGTCTAGGATTCGATCTGCAACCTTATGCAATCAAGAGATTGGCTTTTTCCTTTTCCCCCACCTGTAAATTTTTAACAGTAATTTTTCTGTTCACATTGTCAGATTGTTATCAAATTTAGCATACGGACTATTTAGGCCCTGACAAACATATTTAGTCTTCATACTTAACCTTGTAAAACCATTCGTTACACCATAAAATCTATACTTATGTGAGGTGCGGGGAAAAGGAAAAAGAGCCAAGAAATTTTGTGTCTCACGCACTAAACACTCAGCCACGCACGCCTATCCACCGACAAACACTAGTCAAGAATTAAGCAGCTTCATAAATAGACACAAATTTGCAAGTCATAATTTGGAATATAACAAGCTGAAGGCATCCACGCTAACTTTGTATGTAACAAATAGCAAAGCATAAAGCCACATTATGTACAAACTATGCATTTCAAAAAATTGCGAGATATATTGACATTTCTAAAACCGAGTTTTTTATTGTTATGCTGTTAGAAACAAAAAGCTTTTTTCGATTCATTTGATGAATTAAAACTGCATCAACTGTGTTAACTTATTACCATTCGAATGTCAAAGCACATGCTGTCAAAAAGCTGAAAAAGTACCCGAAAAGTGGCAACAATATTTGCGACTTAGGTTAGAAAAAAGAAGGTTCTTATAATACACTAAACTTACGCAAAAGATAAAAACGATGCTCTCGATTAAAGACATGGAAAAAGAAAAACTTGTCTGTTGATTAAAACAACACACATACCACAGCGTTTTTATCATGCAATGCAGCATCTGTCCTCCAAACCCTGATCACATTGTCATAGCAGCCTGACACCACGACGTGAGACATGACCGGGTGATATTTGGCACAGTAGACATATCCGGGATGGTTCATCACACACACCGCTTCTCGCTTCATACTATCCACATTCCAGCACTGCACAGATCCGTCTTGGCTACTCGACACCAGTTCGTTGTCTGCTCTGGACCAGCACAAGTCGTAGATGAGGCTGAAGTGTCCAGAGAATTGTCCCAGACTCTTGCAGCTGGGAATGTCGTAGATCTGAATGCTGTATCCATTCTTGTCGCCACAAGCACATGCCAGCTTTCTATAAGAAGCCTTGATAATGACGTTCATAATTTGCTACAAATACAAAGCCAACAGAAAGTTGGAAACGAGTCAGTCATCTCAAAGAAACCGAAGAAAAAGAACAATTGATTTTCAGTTCTCGAATTACGAAAAATACATCACTTTAAGGCTCTTTCAAGCAAAAAAAAATTGCCGTTAATGAAGTATTTTTGAAATTCAACCTAACCCAATCAGAGAAAACTGGGTCAATATTATTTTTTTTCATCCATTGGGAAATCTTACTTTTGAAACTGAAAGCCAATCTCGTTTTTTTTTGCGCATTTACATTTTGGTAGATGTGAATTGGTAGATTTTGCGCAATTTACCAACTTTTTAGCAGCAGAACTTGAAATCAACTCTAAACAATGCCAAGCCGCAAAAATCAAATTTGAGCGGTTCACTTCGATTATTGACCCTAAAAAGGATTTAAAAAAGAATTGCTTTATGGAACAAAAGTAGTAGTAACCAAGTTTGATGACAAACCTGCCCTCATTAGAGAAGCGCACGATAGAGCAGCCGGTCTTTCCTGCCTTGAGGGACTTGAGCTGTTTATTGGGCACTTTGCAGATCTGACCCGGCAGCCGACTCCACTCGGGAGGATCCGAAGACAGTTTGTCGTCCTCATCGTGGACATCCGACTCCGCCTGAGGAAGATCAGTTAACAAATTCAGAAGTGACTTTATTTGGAAGCTAATACAGTAAAGAGTGATTGATCATTCAGTTTTCTCTGTCCACTTTTTAAAAAGATAGCCGCCTACTGAACAAGTAGAAGAGAAAGTTCCAAACACAGGAAAATGAGTTCAAAAATTGAAATACAGAGGCGAAGCTGCACATCGCATGTAAAAATAAGATATGAAAAAGAAAAAAAAAACCCTCAACGCGATTCAAGCACACGATTTCTAGAGGTAGAGGCTAATATATTCACAACTGCGCATAGCCTCTAAAACACAATTAATCAACAAACCAAAATATAGCTAACAGAAAGTTGAGAAGGGTTACGTATTCAGACGAAGCAGTATTTAGACAACCGCGTATTCCTGCTCGTCAGTAAGCAGACAAATACTATATTAACCAATCAAATCGAGACAAAGAAGAAGAAAAACATTATTATTATTTGTTTCGAAAGTTTGCTTTCTCATCTCGATTCTGATTGGTTAATACAGTATTTGTCTGCTTACTGACGAGAAGGAATACGCGGTTGTCTAAATAGAGACCGCACTCCGTTGAGAAGACAGTTGACTGTCATGAACGCAAGGAAACAGAAGAAACTGATATCTTCAACTTTCACGTGACATTTACATTTTTGCTGTTTGTTAGTGGAGTTTGCCTTCCTTTCAACCAGGGGCGGATCTAGGATTTTCTCGAGGGGGGGCTGATTTTCAAAAAATTTGTCGACCATTTTTTTTAGGTCGACCGAATTGATTTTTCGAGCTCTACCTAAGCAGGTTTAGTCCCTGTTTTGGCCAAATTTTCTGCGTCGCAGGCAAAATTTTGAAAAACAGTCAAAAAAGGCGTTTTTAGGCACTTTTTGGAAAATTTTGACCAAAAAATTGCGTTTTTTCGGTGCGCGCTTCCTCAAAATTAGTATATATTGGCACAGAAAAACTACTAACAAAATTGGTCCAGAACAGTAAACTCCTTACAAAAAAAACTCAGCCAAAATGCAATGGCAAGATAATTTGAATGCAAAAAAAAAACATTTCAAAGACTAAATCTTTTGAACGGATCGCATTTAAACTTCGCATAACTTTTTACTTCTGTACCCCACTCCCAACTTTTCTGTTCGTATTTCGGATGATCTAGAAGCAGCTCAGGGCGGATTTAGGGGGGGGGGGGGGAAGCATGGGGGGCCGAAACAACGCAATTTTTTGGTCAAACCTTTCCAAAAAAAGCCTGTTTTTTTCAAAACTTTGACGACAAAAATTTTCAACGACAAAAGTTTTGAATTTTTTTTTAAAATCCGCTCCCCCTCGAGAAAAACCTAGATCCACCCCTGAAGCAGTTAACCAAAAATATACGAGAAAACATCCTTCACCGACAACTAGTAAGCGGAACAAAATAAACTCGACAAAGGCAATTTTTCTAGACGAAAATCAGATTTTTTTGATAAAACTGTTCACATCTCCATCAAATCCACAGTTTAGACTTAAGCAGTCATAGACGTTGATAGGAAGCTGAAAAACCAACGACGAAATGCCACAATAGCGTGCTAAATGCAGAACATATCTACTCAATCTCAACAAAAATACAGAAAAAAAATTAAAATTTTCAAGACGTTTTGTTTTTTATGTTACAAGCAAAAAACTTTTTAAGCCCCCACAAAATTTTTCCGGTCCTTTTCTTCTGATCCGAAAAACAGAAGAAACATTACCAGAAATGCATATGAAAACATAAAACATCTCTTTGAAAATTTGAAAAAAAACTATCTTTTTTTGTGCTAAAATGAATTCTTTTCAAATCCTGCCTTCAATAGCAAATTTTTTATTTCAAAACCAATTCTGGTAGACAAGAAAAACATGACTTGTGAAGCAAGCTAATAGATTATTTCAAAACCAATTCTAGTAGACAAGAAAAACATCACTTGTGCATCCAAAGTTCATAAGTTGAACAGCAAAATCAAAATTGCGCCTACAAATTGTAAGACTTATCCTGAAAAAGCAACCATTACGACTATATAGGAGTATTCACTACGTTCATCGACTCTTAAATATTCTTTCGACTGCAGATTGGGTGCATCAATTGATCCAGTCTGAAAGCGGAAAATTGACATTTGTTTGAATCCGAATCACGACCAACAGGTCTTTAATATGATACAACATGTCTTTAATAATAAAAAGCTTTCCCTGAAGCACATCAAATCGGGTGCAAAAAACAACCGATAGGACAGTTCTTTCTAGTCACTTTTAGTGATGTGTTCGGATCAATTACAGATGCCTCATAAGCGATCAGGCGATCTTTTAAATAAGCATGTCGCTTAAAAATTGATTACCTCCGTTAGTCTTCCAATAGTCTTTGATGGCATCTGGGCAGCCTTCACATGTGTTCCCTTCACTGTGACATAGATGGTTCCAGGGTACTTAACATTCCTCATCCTGACCCAGTTGATCATCTCCCGTCCATCTGAAGTGTCCTGTTTTATCTCCTCACTACTGGTGAACTGCTTCTGAGGATGAAACAGCTGCAGACGCACTTTCTTCTCCACGTTCAATGCTCTGTTCCCGCCCACCAGCTGAAAGAGAAAGGGTTTGAAATGTGATCACAATCCTAACTCGGAGGCGAAGCGAGAACAAAACAAAAACACTTCGCGCATACGACAAAAAAGCAGCTCTGTAAAGTGAGATACGAAAAAGTCGAAATAAGCCTGGAGTTAATAAAAAATCTGTCACGCGAAGGATTACAACCTGAACCTAGGGAGTAAGAATCTCACGTCCTCACCTCTCAGCCACGTACGCTTAAACATCGGCAAACACAAGCCACAAATCAATCAGACAACAGATGCTATGAAATTTCTTAATGCTACAGATCGTGATTATAGCAAAATTGCCACCAAATAAGCCTTTTTATTTGGGAGTTAGCTTGGAAAAAGAAGGCTCAAAATAATACACTACGCTCGCAAGCTCGCTACAGTAAACATAGCTAACAGAACGTTGGAAAAGTGCCAATAAACTCCAGGAAACCGAAAGAAAATGATATTTTTTTGAACATTTTTCCAACTTTTCAGATTCGAAGAAAACTACAGCAGACTAGAGCTCTTTCGATTTCAAGACTGGGTCAAAAGCTAATTGTTTCATTCCGCTGGGAAATCTATAAAGTACACAGAAGTGAAGCAGAATTTCGCAACACTTGTGACGCAACACACAGAACACTACAAGCTAGCTGATAACAAAAAAAAACAAGGAAGCCACTAAGTCGAAAAAAATATACACCTATAACAACATTATACGAATGGAATTCGAGTAAAACATTATACGAATGAAATTCGAGTTTTGAGTAAAACATGTCGAGAAACCCAAGTTCCAGTGTTTAAAATTAACAAGTGAACTCAGAAAAAGCATCGAGCTGCAACTAAGCCAACAATACTTCGGTAGACGCCTTGAACAGACGCAAAAAGACTATCTAAGTGCAAAAAAGGAGAAAAAAAAAGAAACTATAGCAAACTAGTCGTAAATATACAAATCACAGAATGAACAATAAAAGTGAAGTTTTCTAAACCAGATGAAAAGTATATGCCACAAGTAGGGAGTCGATGTTTCTGCAGGAAAAATTCTCGCAACTAATTCCTTCGATTGAATTTTTCATCTCAAATTTGATACGATCATTTGAGAAAAATTTGGACGTAGCCACTTACGCAGGGGAGCTTTTCAAATCCGTTCCAACAATCGAAACCAAAATGCCAGATTTGTGAGGGTACTTTTTGAGAAACCGAAAAAAAAAAATCAAAACTACGGGTCAAATATTCCCCCAGAGACTGTGGACGGAGGGGTAAACTAAAAAAGATGTACACAGAGGTGTCAAGTAAAAAAAATACAAGAATATGCACGCACATATCGGTCTTTTCATTGATAATCCTTTCTTGAGAAACGATGGAATAGTTTGAGAAAAACTGAAAATTTTGCCGAGAAAGAAAAAATTCTAAAGCGTCTAAAAACATGTAAAACAGAGCCAACAGACCGTTGCAAAAGATTCAATGAAAGCAAGTAAACAAAAAAAGCTACGGAGTTTTGAAAGAAAAAAATATGGCCTTGAATATTAGAACAATTCATGATAGACGCTTTCTTGAAAATCAACCCAATTTGAGAAAAACGGACCAATCGGTAAAATTTTTTACTTTGCTGGGAAAATTGAAAATTAAATTCCATTTTTGAAATTAGAAGTCGAGCGCGTTTTTCGTAACCTTTAACTTTTTGCTGATCGATAATGGAGTTTGCTTTAAAAATCAAAAGTCAAATCGCGAAAAAGTTAATATTAGCCTGAAATGTTTAGAAATTTCCTGAAAAATTAAGTTTAAAATAATCGCGACCTATTTAAGAGTCTGAACTACGTTCATTGACTCTTAAAAACCTAATCCTATGCATTTTCATCATCACACGTGGTTTGATTAAACAGGAGTTCAAGGGAAACATGCCAAGCAAGACAATTGAAATCGCCAAAGAAACAAAACGTATTGAGCGGAAACAAAACAGACAATCTTTGAGCAGATACCAATTGAGTCGAAAAAATGATTCTTCAAAACAAAACAGACAATCTTTGAGCAGATACCAATTGAGTCGAAAAAAAACTTTTAAAAGCTTCAAGTCCTCCTGAAACTACAGTGAGCAACACTTGCATCTACCATGATACTTGCTTAAAGCACAAGAAAAATCAGTGCTATGGCAATTGAGCCGCCAAAACTTGAGCAGATAAACGAAAGTCAGGCAAATCAATTTTTACCGGAGAAAAGTTTAATTGAATACATACTGAAAAAAAACAAGGTCCAGCCAGGAGTCCATCCCGTGACTTTTGGGTGCAAAGGCGACGACGTAACCTCTGGGAAAAAGGCAAAGAACCCTGGAAAGCTGCAAAGATTCAATGATAAAGCATATTGAAAAATTTGTTTAAAAAAGATGTTTACGGGAAAAAAAAGTCTAGTTCCCGATTACAAGACCCTTATTGTGTTAAGAAACTAGAAGTCAAACCAAAAAATAAACTTCAAAAATGAACGCTATCAAAATGACTTTTTCACATGACTTACATAAGTGCGTTAGTTTCTTTTATTGACACTTAAAAATAGAGACACAGAAGCGAAGCTGCGCTTCGCAAACACTTGCGAAAGTACAACCAAAAAGCAGCTCTATCAATTGAAATAAGAAAAAGCATCCAGCTGCAACTAAGCCAACAATACTTGGGTAGACGCCTTGAACAGACGCAAGAAAGACTATCTAAGTGCAAAAAAGGAGAAAAAAAAATAAACTATAGCAAACTAGTCGTAAATATACAAATCACAGAATGAAAAATAAAAGTGAAGTTTTCTAAACCAGATGAAAAGTATATGCAACAAGTAGGGAGTCGATGTTTCTGCAGGAAAAATTCTCGCAACTAATTCCTTCGATTGAATTTTTCATCTCAAAATTTGATACGATAATTTGAGAAAAATTTGGACGTAGCCACTTACGCAGGGGAGCTTTTCAAATCCGTTCCAATAATCGAAACCAAAATGCCAGATTTGTGAGGGTACTTTTTGAGAAACCGAAAAAAAAAATCAAAACTACGGGTGAAATATTCCCCCAGAGACTGTGGACGGAGGGCTAAAGTAAAAAAGCTGTACACAGAGGTGTCAAGTAAAAAAAATACAAGAATATGCACGCACATATCGGTCTTTTCATTGATAATCCTTTCATGAGAAACGATGGAATAGTTTGAGAAAAACTGAAAATTTTGCCGAGAAAGAAAAAATTCTAAAGCGTCTAAAAACATGTAAAACAGAGCCAACAGACCGTTGCAAAAGATTCAATGAAAGCAAGTAAACAAAAAAAGCTACGGAGTTTTGAAAGAAAAAAATATGGCCTTGAATATTAGAACAATTCATGAGAGAAGCTTTCTTGAAAATCAACCCAATTTGAGAAAAACGGACCAATCGGTAAAATTTTTTACTTTGCTGGGAAATTTGAAAATTAAATTCCATTTTTGAAATTAGAAGTCGTGCGATTTTCGTAACCTTTAACTTTTTGCTGATCGATAGTGGAGTTTGCTTTAAAAATCAAAAGTCAAATCGCAAAAAAGTTAATATCAGCCTGAAATGTTTAGAAATTTCCTGAAAAATTAAGTTTAAAATAATCGCAACCTATTTAAGAGTCTGAACTACGTTCATTGACTCTTAAAAACCTAATCCTATGCATTTTCATCATCACACGTGGTTTGATTAAACAGGAGTTCAAGGGAAACATGCCAAGCAAGACAATTGAAATCGCCAAAGAAACAAAACGTATTGAGCGGAAACAAAACAGACAATCTTTGAGCAGATACCAATTGAGTCGAAAAAATGATTCTTCAAAACAAAACAGACAATCTTTGAGCAGATACCAATTGAGTCGAAAAAAAACTTTTAAAAGCTTCAAGTCCTCCTGAAACTACAGTGAGCAACACTTGCATCTACCATGATACTTGCTTAAAGCACAAGAAAAATCCGTGATATGGCAATTGAGCCGCCAAAACTTGAGCAGATAAACGAAAGTCAGGCAAATCAATTTTTACCGGAGAAAACTTCAATTGAATACATACTGAAAAAAAACAAGGTCCAGCCAGGAGTCCATCCCGTGACTTTTGGGTTCAAAGGCGACGACGTAACCTCTGGGAAAAAGGCAAAGAACCCTGGAAAGCTGCAAAGATTCAATGATAAAGCAAATTGAAAAATTTGTTTAAAAAAGATGTTTACGGGAAAAAAATTCTAGTTCCCGATTACAAGACCCTTATTGTGTTAAGAAACTAGAAGTCAAACCAAAAATCAAAATTCAAAAATGAACGCTATCAAAATGACTTTTTCACATGACTTACATAAGTGCGTTCGTTTCTTTTATTGACACTTAAAAATAGAGACACAGAAGCGAAGCTGCGCTTCGCAAACACTTGCGAAAGTACGACCAAAAAGCAGCTCTATCAATTGAAATAAGAAAAAGTAAAATAAGCCTCGAATTAGCAAAAACTAGGCTACGTGTCGGAATCTGCGACCTACCAAATTTGAGTCTCACGCACTAACCACTCAGTCACGGATGCTTACAATCTCCAAAAACTAGCCACCAATAACGCAGCTACATATAACAATAAATTGCCGATTCGATGCAGCATAATTAGCACCAAACTTCTGAAATCGAGCTTTTTATCATTGTACTGTTGTTTGAAACAAATAAAAAAAATTTTCGGTTCATTTGATGAATTAAAATGAATCAGCTGTGTTCTTTTTTTACTGATCAAATGTGAAAGCACATATGATATTATACTGCTACCGCCGCCTATCGATTCAAAAGTGCCACAAAAAAAAACACTTGCGACTTAGTTTGGACAAAAAAAAGAAATTTTATACTAATACACTTTGCTTCGCAAGTGTAATGACCGAAAACAGTTACCGAAATAAACAAAAACAAAGCCATTAGACAGTTGAAAAAAAGCCAAGAAACGCAATTAAACAGAAAAAAAACTGACCTAGAAAACTGGATCAATAGGTAAGTTTGTATTTCGCTGGGAAATCTGAAAATTAAATTCCATTTTCGAACCTAGGTTTATGTTTTCCTTGACCTTGTAACTTTCGCTGTTCGATAGTGGAGTTTGCCTTCCTTTTAACAAAGGAAATTAACTGAACTTTAAAAAGAAATCAAAAGTCAAACCGCGAAGTAAATTTGAGCCTGAATAAATTAAAAGTTTTGCTGAACCAAAAAGAAAAAAATGATCGCGACCTATATAACTACGTTCATCAACTCCTAATAACTAATCGGGTTTTTTGTCAGAGCAAGACTTATTCTAAAAACTAAATGATCACAAATGCTGCACATTTGCACCTCTCAGATGAGCTCTTCTAATAACAGCAAAAATTAAGCTCCATAACCAAGCAGTGCTATCTAAGTGGTGTGGTGTAGGCTGCTAACTTGGAGGAATGCCCATGCGATGCGCATCCAGTTGGAACTCCTGCCTTTAGGCACCTCCTTCATTCCAGTTGTGTCCACATAATTCAGCAGTTCAAACAGAACCACAGTGTTGGGGCTGGGAGAGTGGGGGGCTGCTGCTTCTCCTTGAGAGACATTTGTCTTGTTCTCTAGGAAGTAGAGATATCGCTCGTCAATGAACAACTGCTGCTCCCATCTCGGAATCAAACTCCTATAAAGCACAAAGATATAATACACAAACCCGATTAAATGGTAACTTTCATTGAGACTAAAAAGAAGCACCATTCACTATGCAATGATTCAGATAATACTAAATACTCATGGCACTTTACTTTTTAAGACAGCACAAAAAATAGAGTGGACTTTAATGAGCCCTCCCTCTCTCGCAAAAATTTTATGCGCATAATTAGTTGCTTGAGCTTGATTTGGTTAGAAAGTAAGTTACCAGATGAGTCAATGATTCTGCTGTTAAACAACTTCCAAAAAAGTCTTAGTTCCGATTTGATAAACACTGCTTAGTACAAACGTCAAGCAGTTATCAAGCGTGAATAAGTTAATTACAAGTGTGAATATGAACTTACTGTCTCTTCTTGAAGTCGAAGGCTCCCGTGCACAGTGGAGGGTGGAACTCCAACGCCTCATATCCCGGTTCATGTGGCAACCTTAATGTGCGTTTACTGTCTTCCTTTTTGACATAGTGACCAGTGTTCGCATCCATCACATGCACTCTCACTAGTGGACTGGTGACATACTTGTGCTGCTTCAGTCTGTCTGTCCTGTGGATCGTCACCCCCAACACTCGCTCGTCATCAAATGATGTCTGGATTCGGGGAACCACCGGGAGAGCTGTTTCTCCGCCTTGTAAATCAACTTTTTCTATATTCGTTACAATCATTTTGTTACCATCTAGTTACTACCAATCATTCGTTACAACCATGAAGTTGCCACCTAGTTCGCTTTAACTTTGGCGTATGTTCAATATAAAGTGTTTATTGCACATAAATGCTCACAATTCAAAATGCTCAAATTATTTCAATAGTTTAATTCCATTTGCACCACTTGCGATACAACAACTATAGGATGAACAGGTAGCAAAGAGGACTTGGAACGATGTTATCATTGACGAAAAAACTTGAAAAACCCTTGTGGGGTTGACTTCAAGTATTCGAAAATTTGGTGCCAGTCTTATCGGTCTCCAAAAATACCGAATACCAAATACAAAAGACAGAATTTTGCATGTAACAAACTGAAAAGCATAAAGCCAAATTATGTATAAATTATGCGTTTCAAAAAATGCGAGATACATCGAGTTTGAAAATTTCTGAAATCGCAAGTTTAAATAAAACTGAATGGGACCATATTAACACCCTCCGCCCAAAAAAAACGTAAAGGGAGGTTAACTTGGTTCTGAGTTCCAATTTTCCGCTAATCTTAATAAAACATTTTGCATGCAATGCTTTGTTGAGATAATTTCAATCGAACGCTGGGGAAGCGGATCTCAACTTGGTCTATTTGGCGGCGATGGAAGCATATTAAGTTGATGCACTAGATCAATAGATAATTTTTTATTCCTTTGGAAAATCTGAAACTTCAAATCTACTTCCGAAATTAGAAGTCAATTTCGTTTTTCGCGCCATTTCCGTTTTCGTAATTGGAGAGCGCAATTGATCTTATTTTTAGCAGATAATTTGAATTGAACTCGAAAAAGGCTTATATACCTGCGTACATTTTTAAATGCATTAATATTTATGAATACACTTCAGTAGTTAATAGAACATTTTAAATTTTTCCAGGAAAAAAACTAACAAAAATCATCACGACCTACATAAGAGTCTTTACTATCATCGACTCTGAACAAGTTGTTAACCCAAAAAAATATTCCGATTTGATTACGCTTACATATCGCAAACGTAATGATGCTTTCATGTGTTTGTGGAGAAAGGTAACTCTGCCTCGAAACAGTTTAAACTGAGTCCGTCGATCCACGCAAGAAATTGTCGTTTTGGTTCTAGGACTACTCACTATCTCGGATCATCTAATGTCTTTTATGGGCTCTTTTTCCCTCCCCTCCCCCCCTCCCACCTCACACGAGCTTCAATATATTAGTGTAACGAGTGGTTTTACGAGGTTGAGTATGAAGACCAAATATGTTTGTCGTGGCCTTTTTAGTGTGTATGTCAATTTTCATAACAATTGGACAATGTGGTCATTAAATTTACATGTAAAAGTTTGCAGGTGGGGGGGGGAAGGAAAAAGAGCTCTTTTATGTTATCGTATAACATACTGCCGGCCTGAAACTTTAGCAACAATAAGTTGGGTGTTGTGCGATTGAATCTAAAATGCGTTTATTATTCAAAGCATCTATAAGACAATATTTCACGTTCAATGACTGCGGATTCTCGCTAGAATCCTTAAGTGAAATCCGAAAACCAACTGTTAGTTCAAATTTATTACTGACTCCCAATTAATCTTCAATGACTCACTTTCAGCAGCTGTTGGTAGTTTTTTCTTTTTCTTGTTTTTCGGCTTAGCCTCTCCACGTGCTTCTGTTCCATCTGCATGAAGCTCATTTTCTACTTCGTCTTTGCTTTTCTCACCTTCTTAAATAAATTGATAGAGAATCAAATTGTCCATAATAGAAAAAATTTATAGTGATAAATTCTATAACTAAAAACTATTCCAGATAATAATGAAACATCTTATTTTAGTCCGCAAATGTTTTTTTTTACCTAAGTAAAAACAATTCAACTAAGATTTTTTGTTGGTTATGGAAGCTTGAAAACTAGTCTCAGATAAAATTCAATTAAAGTATTACCAGCAAGTGGTTCAGTTGATTGACTGATTTCAGTGTTCTGCTTCTTTTTCAACGGCTTCTTTTTCTTGACCTCCGTGTGAGGTTCAACTTCTCCTTCAGCTTCAGTAGTTTTAACAGCCCTATTAATCAAAAAAGACAGTCAATGACGATCATACTTCAAACTTACAAAGAGCTGATTATTCACAATAGTTGAATTGGATTGCTCTTGTTTAACAAGGAGAATTAATGAACTTCAAATTAAGAATCCAGAAGCAGTGACAGTGATAAAAAAAGATTTCTGCGTGAAATGTTGAAGCTGATTTATAGCAAGTTCAAATTCAGAGAGATCAATCGGCAACACCTGTTGTTTTTAGCCCCCAGGGGGCGCTTCCGGCAGCTCAAACCGAGTCCTAGAAACTCTGCGACTTCAATCGACCGAAGCCACAGGTCAGTTGAAGTAAGAGTAGTGGTGTTCTTGGGAGCACAAGAGTGGTGTCTGGGGAATTATAGTGGGGGCAGTTTCGAGGGACATTTGGTCTATTCTGTTTAGGAAGGGAATATAACCAAACCTTAATTGGGCAAGGGTTAACCTGGTGTGGCGAGGGAGAGATTTCTCTGGAGAGGTGATATCGGGAGGTTTGAGTGGCAGTACTTTCGGGGGCAGTACAAAGAGTGGCAGTTCAGAAGCCTGCTCGACACTTAGATAATGTAATTGTTTTAAACTCGATTTGTAATTTTAACGGGCAAAAAAAACTGAGTTCCTTAAAATCGTTAAAGCGGTAAAAGATGCATTAGCTGTGTATAAAAGGGTATTTTCTATTCTGGGACCAAAAAATTTCAAGTATTGTCGGGCGGAGGAATTTCGGGGAGGTTTGGGGCGATAAAAAGTAGGGGGTTTGAAAGCATGCATGTTTTCACAGTAAACTGGGCAGATAGAAGTTGACGATGGTGAGTAACATTTCAAATTTTATATTCTGCATGTAAAGGTTCTGCAGCACTAATTTATGTACAGCCCGTTTTAGTGGGGAGAGCGGCGTTTTGAACTACTTTATTCCAGTTTATTCAAAGACGTAAGACAGGCGGCATGGGACCATGCTGTGCCTGCGTAATCTAAAGTTGGTCTGACCAAAGCCTTGGAAATAAGATTGACCCCAATTTGTCCCCGATAAGGCTTTCAGGATCAATATCCTGCGCGAGCTTTTGCTGAAGTTCTCTTGCAGTTTTCAGCTAAGTTAAGGCATCAGTCAAAAAACAAACGGAGTATTTTTGGGTGCTTTACTAAAAGAAGGGGGTGCTGTCCCTTTTCACTAGGGTGTAAGTATTGAATTCCTTATTGAACGAAGAAAAAAAGTTGTCGAAACAAATGAAACTGGACGTAAAATTATGATGTAACTTTAATTAAGTAGTTTGATAAAACTGAGGAAGCTTTTGGAAAAAAGCTCGACTGAATTGAGGGGCGAAAGTCGTCTGCGTACGATTTGACTGGCCTTCGGTGGATTAAAATGGCGCATCATGAACTATGCTCGCTAATCTCCAAAACTGATCCAAATTCGTTAAATTAATAAGAGATATTTTTCGGTAAATAACTCAGGCAAATAGATAAATTTAGGCATTCTCTATCGATCAAAAACATCATAAATTTTTATCATCTGTTCGTTTTTGGTACAAATCGGCGCAAGCTAGCCACAAGAACCGGTCGGTAATGTCCTTGAGTCAAATTGCTCTTTTTGGCGGTCAGTCTTAATCAAGGCTGAACCGAATTAGAACCAAAAAACAGTTAAAATAAGATGTAACCCCCGTTTTTAGTACATAATACATGGGCAGGTGGGGGACTCGAACCTACGTCGACTGTGATGTAACGTTACTCTGTCTTAGTCCGCTTGGCCAACTGTGCTTATTTTATATGCATCTATACTCTACATTTGCATTGCAACATCCTCCCCCCTGAAGAAGGGAGAACCAGAGCGAGCTTAACGGTCGGCCGCGTGACTTCACGGGTTGCGGTCGTGACAAGGGCGGATCGGGCGCAACCGTCCTGTCCGTAGTTTAGCTTGAGGATTCGGGCGAGAGGGTAGTACCCACGCGGACTATCGGGCTCAATCATCCACACAGATCGCCTGTTTTAAGAGTGAAGTCAGAATGAGTGTGCCACTTGACACGCTTATTCAGCGAGGGAACATATTCTCGAAGCCAACGAGACCAAATCACGTTAGCATAAGACTGCGCTCGCACGTACCTTTTCTTGTGATCGAAGTGCTCCCCGGGGTAAAAGCGAAGGAAAGCTTGTGGCATGTTGTCCGAGCAAAAAATGGTTTGGGGTTAACGCTTTTAACTCACGTGAATCGGTACTAACGGGAGTGATTGGCCTCGAATTCAAAGCCTGTTCAACTAAGCAGAGTGTTGTTCCTAACACTTCTTCAGTGACTCGCCTACTGCCTAGGATATCGTACAGCACGCGCTTCACGCTTCGGACGAGGCGTTCCCAGGAGCCGCAATGATGGGGTGCGCCTGGCGGGTTAAATTTCCAAGTAACACCTTTGTGTGCAAAGATGGTCGGAGCCATGCCATTCCAGCTCTTGATGCAGGCAAGTAATTCCTTTTCCGCACCAACGAAGTTCGTGCCGTTATCCGACCAGATTGTGCTTGGCGCAATGAACGACGCCACGACGCGCAATGAACCGTTCAATGCCCATGACACAAGAACTGGTGTCCAGAGATGGTACAATCTCAAGGTGTACAGCCCTGGTGGTGAGGCAAGTAAAAAGAAATCCCCATCTTTTTTCAGTGCTTCTGCGAACCGGAACGTAAAGCGGTCCAAAGTAATCCACACCCGTATGATTGAAGGGTGGTTGCTTATATCCGAGACGTTCGACATGCAAATCGGACATATAGGCTGGATGGTACTTGCTTTGCGTTTACGGCATGTTACACATTGATTTTCGATAGACCGAAGTAGTCGACGCAACCCAAGTATTGCATATTTCATATTTAAAACGGAGCGCATGTAATCTAAACCTTGATGAAAATGCTTGTGGTGGAGGCGGCGGGCCAACAAACGAACAAGGGTATGTCAGGCGTCGAGTATTATTGGGTGCTTAGTATCAAACTCGGTATTCACTAAGCGCACAATCCGTCCGGTGGAACGAATGATACCAGTGGGACCGATAAATGGCGAGTATGTGGCAATTTTACTACTATTCTTAATAGGTTTGCCAGCGGTGAGTGTTTTTAACTCAACGGGGAAGGATTCCATCTGAGCAAGATGAATCAGTTTGCTTTCTGCAATATCAAGTTCAGTGGGGTCGGTGATTCGTAAGTCCTTACCACGAAAATGCTTATGTGAAGGCAACATCAACATAAAAGCGACTACTCGTTTAAATCTTGTAAAGGAACTGAACCTTTCCCAATTGAACCCGTGTTCGGGATGTTTGATGGATGTGACGAAGGAAGATGATGTCTCCAAGCAATTATCAACATCACAAGAAGGACCCGTCAAACCAATTTTTATTGATTACACTTTCGTCGGGTCTAAACGGCCAATCAGTAGTCCTGAGAATGCTCGGACTAATAACCCAGCTGCTATCCTTGAGGGCTTCCGAAGAAATCCCCCGCGTACCGGCATCAGCTGGATTATCGCCGCTCAGAACATGGTGCCACTCATCAATAGTGGTCGATTCGAGGATTTCGCCGACACGATTAGCGACGAATACAGGTAACTTATCAGTGAAGTTTAGCCACTGCAAAACTGTTGTACTATCTGTCCACATGTAGACATGATTAATAGAGACGGTAAGGGCGGCCAGTATATCATCTTTTAGTCGTGTGGCGAGCAGAGCAGCTTGAAGCTCTAGCTTCGGTATAGATAGCGCTTTCATGGGCGCAACGCGAGCTTTACCAAAGATGAAGGATATTTGAGTTTTGTGCGAGCTCGAGAGTCGCGCACGCAAAAATCCAACCGCACAGAAAACATCCTGCGAACTATCACCGAACATGTGGAGCTCAATTTGATCAACAAGCTCTGTGAAGTAACAACGGGGAATAGTCAATTGCCCTAAGAGAGGGAGACCGGAGTGCCACTCGAGAAACTTATCTCTTATGGCATTCGTCGTCCCAACTTTAAGCACTGATTTTCCAAATATCTTTCAGTAAAAGACGGGCCCTAACTGTGTATGGAGCTACTAACCCAACAGGGTCAAACACAGAAGAGACGAAACTCAAGACGGTTCGTTGAGTTATTGCTTTATCGAGAGGACGATCCACGCCTCTGCTAACAACCAATGTGTCTTTTACATGGTCCCACTTAAGACCTAAGACGTGTGATGATTGTTCGGCACCATTACATATTTCCTTGATGGGTGAAGATGAGGTTTCGGATTCCTCGGGGTTCATTGCTGAAGTGATTTCATCAGCATTACTCACAAATTTAGTCAAATTAAATCATCCCAATTCTAGTAAGGAAACCAAATCGCGACTAATTTTAATTGCATGGGTAACGTTCTCGAATGAATCCAAGTAATCGTCCATGTAAAATTTTTCATTTACAACTGAGGCGGCCTCAGGGTATGTGGACATATTATAAGTTGCTGTTTTTTGCAACGAGAAATTGGCACACGTAGGCGAATCCCGTGCGCCGAATATATGGCGAGTGTACTGATGAACTACCACATCGGAAGTGGTATCCTCCCGCCACAAAAAACGGAGCAAAATTTGATCGCGGGCAAGGACTCCTACCTGGAGGAACATACCCTCTATATCCGCGGACACGGCGTACTTGTGTTGACGGAATCGCAAAAGTACAAAAATTAAATTTTGGAGTAGATCCGGACCCACCAAAAAGGACTTATTTAAGGATGTGCCGTGAAACTTAGAAGCCCCATTAAGGACTCGGCGCACCTTACCCGGCTTATTCGGATTTACGACGGGATGGTGCGGAAGATACCACTCGCGATCGGAACGCTTACGTGGATCATGCGGTTCGACGGTAACGACATAGCCTTTCCTAATGTCCTCTCTAATTGTTTCTGTGTATCTTTCGCGCAGCTCAGGATCTTTACTTAACCTTCTCTCCAATGTTTTAAATTGGGCGAGTGACGAGTAATAATTGTTTGGTAGACTGACATTACTATCAATCCAAAGCATA